CAAAACAAACTGGTGGTAAAAAATTGCCCTGCTTACATTTCCTTACCCTGAAACATCATTTTCCCTTCTAGAACACCTGGTCCTTAATATATTAGGTCATCATGAAAGTGATTATGAAGATCTCTAATGCACAACTATATTCTAATAATATAATAATTATTAGCAATTACAGTCAGCATTATTATCCATATTAATAGCTAACATTTGAGTCAGTTGCTATATACCAAATACCACGCTAAGTGTCTCATGTGTATTATTTCACTAATCTGCATAACATTCTTGTGAAGTAGGCATTATCATTTCTCTACCTTCCAGTTAAAGAAATCAGGGCATGAATAGGTTACCTACTTTGCCCAAAGTCACAGAGATAATATGTGAGGAGGAGGAATTTGAATCTAGGCTCAAATTCAAAGCTCGCTTGTAAGGAATTCTAGTGGTTGGGACTCCACACTTCCACTGCAGGGGGCACGGGTTTGATCCCTGGTTGGAGAACTAAGATCTCACATGCTGCAGGTCACGGTCAAACAAAACAACACAAAAAAGCTCACTTGTGTACCACATGAACTTGCTGCTACGTAGTGGCGTCATCAAAGACGGCAAAAAGAATGAGCTAGCAGCGCGCTCAGTAGAGTATGACATTCATTTAAAGGAAAAGTTTGGCATGATGCACTGTCTTCTTAAGGATATTTTCAGGGTATTTATTAGGTTAAAATTAACTTGCAATTCTTGTGGATGCTAACAGGCTGCCTGTTAAACTTCAGTTCAGTTCAGTCACTCAGTCGAGTCCAATTCTGCGACCCCATGGACTGCAGCATGCCAAGCCTCCTTGTCCATCACCAACTCCCAGAGTTTACTCAAACTCATGTCCATTAAGTCGGTGATGCTATCCAACCATCTCATCCTCTATTGTCCCCTTCTCCTCCTGCCTTCAATCTGTTGACTAAAAAAGATGTACTACTTGAGAGTTGTGAGTTAAGTTTTATTTGGGGCAAAATGAGGACTGCAGCCCTGGAGGCAGCATCTCAGATAGCTCTGGGAGACTGCTCCAAAGCGGCAGTGGGGGAAAGTCAACACATAAGGTTTTGGTGACGGGAGAGTTCAGTGTCATGAAGCACTCATTTTACAAAAGTCTTCTTGTTAGTCATGAGGATTTGATATCACCATGAAGGGATTTAGTGCTTCTCTAGATATGAGGAGATGCAAGGATTGGGATTATAAAATCTATTCCTAAAAATATCCAACGATCTACAGACCTGTCCTACCAGATTCCCTGGAGCACAGAGTGGTTCACTCCACCCTGAACTCCCTCAGGAGTTGTTGAAGGTCAACAGCTATAGCAGCCGGGGGTTCAGTCTCTGTAGAGGCAGATGGCAAATGTCTTGTTGTTCAGTCATTGGCAGTGCTCTTGGTAAGTGCCAATTTGTAGTTGACAAATCTTTCCCAGCATCAGAGTCTTTTCCAATGAGTCAGTTCTTCGCATCAGGTGGCCAGAGTATTGGAGTTTCAGCTTCAACATCAGTCCTTCCAATGAATATTCAGGACTGATTTCCTTTAGGATGGACTGGTTGGATCTCCTTGCAGTCCAAGGGACATTCAAGAGTCTTCTCCAACACCATAGTTCAAAAGCATCAGTTCTTCAGCACTCAGCTTTCTTTATAGTCAAACTCTCACATCCATACATGACTACTGGAAAAACCATAGCCTTGACTAGACGGACCTTTGTTGACAAAGTAATGGCTCTGCTTTTTTTTTTTTTTTGGCTCTGCTTTTTAATATGCTGTCTAGGTTGTTCATAGCTTTTCTTCCAAGGAGTAAGAGTCTTTTAATTTCATGGCTGCAGTCACCATCTGCAGTGATTTTGGAGCCCCCAAAAATAAAGTCTGTCACTGTTTCCCCATCTATTTGCCATGAAGTGCCAGGACATGATGCCTTGATCTTAGTTTTCTGAATGTTGAGTTTTAAGCCAACTTTTTCACTCTTCTCTTTCACTTTCATCAACAGGCTCATTAGATGTTTTTCTGGAACTCTCTTTCTTTTTTGATAATCCAACAGATGGCAATTTGATCTCTGGTTCCTCTGCCTTTTCTAAAACCAGCTTAAACATCTGAAAGTTCGCGGTTCACATATTGCTGAACCCTGGCTTGGAGAATCTTGAGCATTACTTTACTAGCATGTGAGATGAGTGCAATTGTGCAATAGTTTGAGCATTCTTTGGCATTGCCTTTTTTTGGGATTGGAATGAAAACTGACCTTTTCCAGTCCTGTGGCCACTGCTGAGTTCCAAATCTGCTGGCATATTTGCTGGCACATCTACTTCTGCTTTATTGACTATGCCAAAGCCTTTGATTGTGTGGATCACAACAAACTGTGGAAAATTCTGAAAGAGTTGGGAATACCAGACCACCTGACCTGCCTCTTGAGAAATCTGTATGCAGGTCAGGAAGCAACAGTTAGAACTGGACGTGGAACAACAGACTGGTTCCGAACAGGAAAAGGAGTAGGTCAAGGCTGTATATTGTCACTCTGCTTATTTACCTTTAAGCTGAACTTTACTAACAGTATCGCACCTTTCTAACCTTGACATTTATTAGGGTTTGAAAAGTGTTGCTCAATGCTCGAGAAAAAAAGAGTTCATGTACTCCTAGTCAGACTACAATTAAAAAACAAAAAATCAGTGTTCTATGTGCTTTAAAAGAGAGGGAACCGGAAAGGAAGAGGGAAGTATCAGATACGCGCGGGAGCAGGAGATGTGAAGATGGCAGCAGAGTGGAGCGATACTCTACCAGCCAAGGAACACCAAGGATTTCAGAGAGTTACCAGGAGCTGGGTGAGAGGCATGGCATGAGGCGTGAGATTCTCTTGCAGAGTCTCAGAAGGAACCGACCCTGCCGACACCTTGCCTTCAGACTTCCGGTCTCCAGAGAATACACTTCCGCCGTTCTCAGCTAGCCAGCTTGTGGTGATTTGTTATGGCAGCCCATGCCAACACTGTACTATTCTTTTCATGATCGCATGTTTTGAAATGGTGCGTACGGGCAAGGGGGTGTGAATTAATGTCAGCTCGTCATGGAGCGGACACTGGCTCCTTTGAAGGACTGTCCCCTCCCCGCCTGCCATGACATTCTGTTGGGGCTGTCAACGAAGGGAACCCCTGCGTTCTCCACCAAAGAACGTTATGACGTTAGGAGACGAATTTACCCCTGGGCAAGAAGGGTCGGGTTCCTGAGGGAGTCTGATCCAATCTGGGTGGGATGGGGAGGGGAGGAGTCAGCTCTGGCGGGGGTGGGGGTGGGGGATGGGCAAGAGCAAGCTTCTCAACTGGACAGTTGCTTAGCTGGAGGGTCATTTAAGATCTGAGGAGGACCAATCAGACTCCTCTTCCTGAAGGATATGGATGCAGAGAGAGAGAGAAAGGGAATATCCTAATTTTGTTTCCTGTTTTTCTGCAACTGCAGCAGGTCCTGTTAATTTCCACCCCAACAATCATTCCCTTTTCCATGCTTTCTTGCAGGCAAAGCCCACGCCCCACGATCTAGACTAGAAATGACAGATGCTTACTTTTCAGACTGCATTGCAACCCAGTCTGGCCCCTAGAACCCAGTCTGGCAAATGAGAAAGAAGGAGAACTCTTCTAGGGAGAAAATAAAAATGTCAAACACATAAGGGAGAGGCCCTTGTCCACATTTTCTGCTTTGGATGTCACTGAGAACAGGATGCGTGGTATCGTTGCAGACAGTTTGTACCCATGCGGGGAATGCAAACTATTCTCAGAGATGCCAACTTAGTGCCTGACTCTGAGCAGCCGAACTCACCCTGGGATTTTGAGTCTTTAAAATGTTAGATGAGCAAAAGAAATCTCTACTATGAGCAAAAGAAATCTCTACTACTTCAGCTCTCTATGTTGGGAATTCTGTTTTCTTCAGCTGAAGGCATTATAACAGCTTCAGCATTATAAGCCTGCAGTTCCAAATGACCATTTGCTACCATCGCAAAGACCTGTCCGAGAACGAAGTCAACAAAGGACAAAGCAGAATCACCCAAACACCTGGATCCAACCATGCCTGAAGTCCTTCTGTACTCTCAGGCTTGCATGGAGGTCCTTCATTTCTGCTTGTGGCTTACAATAGTCTGGGTTGCATTTTGTGTCCTATGACTACAGTGGTCCTGGCCGGTGTAAAATTTAGAAAAGTTCAGAGAAATCAGTTAAGTTGCCAAAGGTCACCCTGCTAGTGAATGAAACATTTGTTTGAATGCAGAGCTGAGATGTTCCAACCCAGCTTCCCAGCCCCAGAAAGGACAGGAGCCCCAGATGGAGTGAGACCCAATGTATGTGTTTATTCTGGAGTTGATAGCAGCAGCAGTGGGGGGAATCGGCCAGACTCAGGGTGTGGTGAACAGACAGGGTGGACACAGGCGTGTGCGTGTCTAGGGGGACACGGGAGATTGGTCCGTTGACATTCATAGCCAGCACGAGGGTTAGGACACTAAGTCTTGTACAAACAGCAAAGAGACAGACGACAGACAGACAGACAGAGGTTTTGGGGGGCAGGGATCCCCCAGACATGCATGGCCCCTCACCTGGATGGGGAGCCCCGGGGAGGGAAGACAGACACAGTGGAGACTGAATGCCCCCCACCTTGAAACAGGGAGCTGGGCCCACCTGCCTCCCACCACCCCCAAGCCTCCAGGGGTAGAAGGATGGGCAGGCCCAGGGCTGCCTCGCACCACGCGGCTCGGACGTTATGGCTTCGAGGAGATGAATTCACAGTCCGGGCAGGAAGGGATGGGGTCCTCAGGGGGCCTGGTCTGATTCCAAGCCTTGGCCAGACCTGTGGGACCGGGCAGCAAGGAAACATTAATGATGGCGGACAGCCAGCCCATGACCTGGCTGGTCATGGCCATCAAACACCCCAGGGACCCAGGAATCCTGGTGCTATGTCCCTCCATCCTCAGACCTGGGAGTCCAGCCCCTCCCACCCCTGGGCTGGGTTCCTTACCTCTCACTCTGAGTTCTCTTTCTCTGACAATCCTTTGCTGCCTTTTGTGAAGCTGGTCAAAGTCTTTTCCTGAAGGGGGAAATCCAAAGGCTCAGGAGGAGGGGGACAGAGGCAAAGCAGTTGCTAGTAATGAACCTAATAAGACATCACACCTGTTTTCATCATTTATAGTTCTCTTTTTTTGCCCAGCTCTGAAGTGATGGGGCAAGTGGTACTACAGTCCCATTCTACAGATGGGAAAACAGAGGCACGAAGGAGACATTACTGGAAATGTGAGAAGAGACGATGAGGCCACTGGGGTGATGGGGAAGACCCTGCACAGCCCCCGAGGAGCTGAAACCCAGTCCTGAGAGTGCTGGGGAGCCACGGGAGGGCTGAGCTACAGAATGGTCAGGGTCAGCCACAGAACACCATTGGTTGCCAGTCAAGGTCATGGCCAGACTCTGCCAGGGCTCAGCTTCTCTCCACTGAGGAGCACAGCAAGCTTGTTTCACAGGAGCTGCCAGAGAACTTTGTGAATAAACGAGTGAGTGAATTAGAAGAAGAGTAAGTGATGAAAGCAGGGAGAGCTGCCATCTGTTCAGCTAAGTATAATCAGTCTTTTCAAAACTCACTTCTGAGTTCTGCACTCAGCCCTTTACATCCCTCCCCACTCCAACCCCAGAGAAAACTTCAAAGCAGGACCACACTAGTCAATTCCAAGTGAGGAACTGAATCCAGGTGTAAAATGCAAGGTGCACCCAAATGCAGCAATCCAGATAAATGCTATTGTAATACCATCTTAAAAAAAAAAAAATCAATGCAAAAATAGTCCATGATGAGCAAACTATAAATTTTAAGTAAAAGCTAGTCCAGTGCCATTTTAAAGACAACTTGTTTTATTTAAAATTTATTTTATTTATTTAAAATAGAAGTTTATTTAAATTTATTAAAATTTATTTAAATTGGCAGTAAAGGCCAGGAACCAAAGCCCAACCTTTGGGCTCAGGAACCAAAGACAAAAGGAGAAATATGTACTCGATTTTTCTGTATTTTTTGCCTTCCCCGCCCCCCCCCCCTGGAAAATTAAACTAGTTGAGAAAATATTGAAGGAAAAAAAAGAAGAGTAAGTGTACTGAAATTCATACTATCTTAAATGTTTTATTTTTACCCTGCAAGAATTTAGTATAATCTTACTTTCTTGGCTTTAGTGACAGTAGAGTCATCAATAGTTTTGAAAGTTACATCTTTGCTTTTCCTGGATTCAAATGAGAGAACCCATACTTGAAAATTTCTCTTGACCAATTAAGGTTCTTAAGTGATCTTAAATTTTTAATTTAAAAATTGTCAAGCTGGTTCTCCCGTGACACCCCAGGCCTCTTGGGATCTTCCCGTCCCCTTCTTTCTCTGCTCCAGGCTCACCACTGACACCCCCTTCTCGATGATTTGGAGGAACTGGCAGCCTTACCCTCTTCCTACAAGCCTGTTTTACCTAAGCCCGTTCCTTCTCAACCTGCATGCCCCTGCTCAAATATCTCCTCTGAGAAGCCCTCCAGGACTCCCTAATTGAAAGGGCATGCCCCAACTTCCCTCCAGATTCCCTCTCCCCCCACCCAAGGCTCTCAAACCTTTTGCACTGCAACCCCCAGGGAAAAAATAAATTAATACCACCATCCTTCGTTTCCTGCCCTGTGAAAATTTCTGTACTGTTCTATTTCAATTTAATTTTCTTATTCATTTCAAAAGAAATATTGTTGATCCCTACCCAGTAAACCGCAATCCACCAATTTTCACAGCCTGCTTTAAATAACAAATAAAGCCCTGCTCTATTTTATCATCCAGGTTTTTTCCCCTTTCCTTTTATTTGGGACTTAGCATCATGGGTAATAATAATAAGAGTAGCTGACTATTTACTGAGCCCTTACTCAGAGGCAGACACTTAGTCCTGCATTAACTCACTGCATCTTCACACCGGTCCTAACAATAGACGCTTCTAAGGGTCCCATTTCCCAGCTGGGGAAACGGGGGGCACAGAGAGATCAAAGAACTTGCTCCAAGTCACACAGCTAAAGAGGGCGGAGCGGGGACTCGAACCTGTGACTGAGCAGCCCACGAAGACATGAGGGGTTGCGCGAATGAAGGGGTGAGTGGCGCCCCACTCACCTCCACCAGCTGATGCCAGTGCTCCACGGGCTTGCGCGGGTTGGCCAGCATCTCGGCCCAGTGCTCACGGCCGTGGGGGTCCGCGGCGTCGGGACCCACGCGGCACACGCCGATCACCTCGTTGTGCCCGATGCTGGGGGTCACGGGTGGGGGCCGGTGAGTATCCCAGAGGCCGGCAGGCCGGGCCCCACACCCCGCTCTCACCCCGCGCCCCGCCTCACCAGTCGTAGTCCACCACCGCGATGCTGAGCCCCACGTTCTCCACGCTCTCGGGGGCCACGTCGAACACCAGCGCCTCGTTGTACGTGGGGTTCAGCGTGTTCTTCTTAATGGAGGTTTTCCGCTTCTTCAGACGCCGCCCCTCGCTGATCAGAGAGGCCTTCACGTAGGGGTCTGCGGGCGGGCGTGGAGGGAGGGCGCTGAACCGGGTCTTCATCCCTCGGACCCCATCGCAGACCCCAGACCTTTCTCCCAGACCCAAGCGTTTGGTTCCCCATTCTTTTCTCTCCTAGCCCCTCGGATCCAGGAGCCCAGACCTCAGACTCTCGTCGCCCAGACTCAGGGGGTCTGGACGCCCCTCCCCTCCTCTCTCAGGACTCTGTGGAGTCTGGGCTTTTAGCCCCCTCCTCGCTCAGACCCGGGAGTCTCACCCGCCTCCCCGCCCCGCAGAAACCGGCGTCTTTCCAGAACCCACCTGAGAAGCCGGTGAGGTCCATCGCTTTGAGGTTAGAGGCTTTGATGATGGTCACGGTGAGGCGGCCGGCCGTGGGGAGGTAGCAGAGTGAGAAATTGAGCTCCCCAAGATCTGCCTTTTCCTGCAGTTGGGGAAACGGGGCCAGTGAGGCGCTGTCTCAGCCTCCCCCCAGTCTCTCCCTGACTTCCCCATCTCCAGCCTCCAGCTCTCCTCCCCGATTTGCAGGGCTCAGGTTTCCGATCCACTTAACAATCTGACTCCGGGCCAAAACCTGGTAAACTCCCCGGCCACAGCGGCCCACCACCGTCAAAGTCTATTTGTTCTGCGGGGAAAACTGGAAGAGGCGTGGGTGGGGGGAGATCAGGAGAAGGACAGAAAGAGGGAGGCAGAGAGAAGAACGCTGTGAGAAATCCGCTGAGACAGAGATGCAAACAGCGGGAGAGAGTCAGAAAGACCCAGAGCAGAGTCGGGGGCGGGGGGGGGGCGGGGAGGTGCGTACCTAGAGACCCAGACAGAGAGGAGAGAGACCTACTGGGGAGGGGAAGAGGGGCACAGACTCAGAGGGAGAACCAAGGCCTGGGAGGGGAGAGAGCCCCAGGGGGCAGAGACTTGGTGGGGGGCAGTGTATGGAGATCACTGGCTCAGACAGTAAAGGATCGGCCTGCAATGCAGGAGACTCGGGTTCGATCCCTGGGTCGGGAAGACCCCCTGGAGAAGGGAATGGCAACCCACTCCCGTATTCCTGCCTGGAGAACCCCACAGACAGAGGAGCCTGGTGAGCTACAGTCCCTGGGGTCGCAAAGAGTCGGACACGACTGAAGTGACTAACACATGTGGAGACCCAGAGAGAGTGATAGAGACCCAGAATGAGGGGAGGGAAAAAGACGGGGAGGGGGTGCGGGAGGAGAGAGAGAAACAGAGGCAGAGACCTACATGGAGAAAGGGACAGAGATCCAGAGAAGTGGGACTGAGAAAAGACACATGGAGCGGTCAATCTTGGGGCAGGAGACAGACAAGAGCTTGCGTGAGGTTACAAGGGATGCAGATCCCCTGCCTCGACACACGCAGAAGCACCTGAAGCGGTGGCCAGGGCGAGGGGCCCCACACCCCGGCTGCCCTGGTCTTCAGCCTCTTCTCAGCGCCTCGCCCCCCACCCACGCGGCCGGAGCCCAGGTCCCTAGATGCTCCACGCGCTCCCCTGAGGCTCTGCCCCGGCTGTGTCCTCAGCGAGAGTACCCTCCCTCCCAGTCATCAAGCCTCAGTTTAGCTGTCAGCTCTTCCCACGTGCTCCCAGACTCCCTGCCACCCTGAGCAAAGACTCCCCTGGGGTGTCCCCATGATGCTGGCCCTTGTGTGATCACCTAGGCCTGGAGCGATCAGGAGAAGAGAAAATGTGAGGTGACAGAGGAGACAAGGATAGATGAAGGAGGGGGCCCTCAAGCGGGGCGGCCTTGGGGAACAACAGGGAGCAGGGCTAGGACCCTACAACTAGGCAGGTGGTTCTCAGAGCCTGAGCTTGGGGGACGGAGCAAGCGGGCTGTGGTCCCCCCAGGTGAAGGGGACGTTAGGAAGAGCCACACGCACCTGATACGTAGGGGGAAACAGAGGCTCAGAGATGGGAAGGAGCTTGAGTCGGGCCATCGGGTGGGCAAAACCAGCCCTCTCAATATATGAGGACAGGGCTCACACCCCTCCCCACTCACACACAGCTTCCCCAGATCAATAGGGAGCTGGAGTGTTGGGAAACCCACAGACTGTAACTGAGAGGGCTGAGGACGTGGGAGGGTGTGAAGTTCGGGGCGCGGAAGGGGTGAGGACACCCAAACAAAGACCTAGGAGCTGGGCTCGGGAAGGACTGGATGTACAGGAGAACGAGGCTGTAAGACAGGCAGAAGGGGCCAGTGGGGGGAGTTGGGGGCACTGGGGAGATGTCAGGATATCGGGGATTCCAGTGTGAGGCTTTAGGGAATCACACTATCAGGGTTCCAGTGGAGACCATGAAGACACAGAGGATTAGATTAAATTAGAGAGCTTGAGGGTCAGCGCTTTGAAACAAAGTGTTCAGAGGTCAGAGGGGCTGGGGGTCTCAGGAAGACTGGGAATTGAAAAGTGAGGAGGTTGTAAGGGGAAAGGAAGTTTGACAAACAAAAGCCAGGCACTCTAGGCTTGGGAAGATGGAGGGTTAGGAGTCCGGGGTCAGAGGGCAGAAGTCATGGGGTCACAGCCTGGAGTTTTGATAAAACTGGTGGCATCTGTTACGGTTTTCTGAACGGTTACCATCAGATGTCAAGGTGGGGTCACAAGTTGGGAAATCTAGGGCCTGGTTCTGATGTTAATATTTAACTAAGTGCAGAAGGGGAGTGGGAGCCCATACCATTCTCTATTCCTGCTGGTACGTTTGCAATATTTTGCAGGAAAATAAAGTCAAAAAGAAAACTCCAGGATCCAGGAGTTATGGGGTTGTGAAGTAGTAGGGGGGGCAAGGAGATGGCAAGCTGGGGGGTCCTGGGTCCCCTGGGGAAGAGGGTGCGGGAGTCACTGACCGAGCCGCCCTCCACGATGTCCCTCCACAGCGGGCGGTCGGGGGGCTGCTCGGCCAGCTCCAGGAGGTTGTCCAGCACCACCTGGCCGATGAGGTCGTGCCGGGAGAAGCGGTCAAAGTCATAGACGCTGAAGTGCAGTTTGCGCTGCGCCAACTCAGCCAGCGGCACCGAGAACTGAAACGTCTCGTTGAAGACGGGGTTCAGGGTCTTCCTATGCACCTGGAGGGGGTAGGCGAGGAAGGGAAACAGACACCATGCCCACCGGCCCCTCCTCCCTCGGCCCCGGGGGTCCAGCCCTCCACTCCAGACCTTGGTCTGAAACTTCTTCTTGCGGTCAGGCAGCAGGTAGATCTTGACGTAGGGGTCTGAGAAGCCATTGGAGTCCTTGGCCGGAAGGTCCAAGGCCTGCAGGATCCGCACCACCAGCTGGTCGGAGCCGTAGAGATACCGCAGGGCGAAGCTGATGCGGCCGCAGGGAGCCCCCATGCCGGCCTCCCCAGAGCCGGGGCCCCCGCCGCCCCGCCGGCCGCCGGGTCCAGTCCCCTGGTACAGCTCTGGCTTGATCTGTCCGATGAGCTTGGCCTTTTCCTCTCCGCCCGGCAGGGGTAAGGGTAGGGCGGGCGGCCGCTCCTCACTGCCCGGGTCTGGCTGCGGGGTCAGGGTCTGCTGGGTGAGGGGCCGGGGTAGGGCGGGGTACCTGTAGGGGTTGGGGAAGACAGATGGAGTCAGTGGCTCTGATCTCTGCACCTGAAGACCTGGGGGGCCCCTCCCGGCCTCCTCCCCAAACCCCACAGCCAGGGGCCCACAGACCCCCACCTTTGCCCACTGTGACCTTGAGCAGGGCGCTTGAATCCTCTGAACCTCAGTTTCCCCGTCTGTATGGGGGGGTGACCATCCCCTTCTCTAAGCTAGCTCCAAATCAGACCTGGGCTGTCACCAGCCTCTCAAAGCTTCCATCTGACCTCCAGGAGTGACCCTGAATAACCTCTGTGGAGCCCTGGGGTTTCACACAGCCCAGACCCCCCGACCTCCATCTGCCCTTCTCCAAATTTCCCTGGCCCATCCTCACGCTCTCCCACCTGGCCATCGTGGCCCCAGCCTGTTCTTTCGCTCTCAACTGTCTTTTCTGTGCTTGTGGAACACTACGGAAGCCCACAGCTCCATCCTTAACCATCTTGGCCGTTGTCTTTGCTTCTCCCTCGTATGCTTTCCCTGGACAAGCTCATCTGTGCCCCAGGTTTCCGCAATCATCAGCAGCCTCTGTCTGCTAAGTGTGTCTCCTGGGCTCCGGCCAGGTTCAGCCTCCCAGCCCCATCAGACACCATATTCCTCTTGTGTTCCCCACTGGGCTTGCTCCCTTCTCCCCAACCCACTCCCTCTCCCAGCCCCCGACGATCCACCTTGGCCTGCAGACCAGACATCTGGTGCCATCCTCACCTCCTCTCTCTCCTCAAACCCCTTCCCTCCCGTCTCCTGAATTTTCCCACCCCCTCGGTCCCTGCTCATCCATCCTTTCCTGCATGGGCCACTGCACCCATGGTGAAGTCCATGTGGTGGGGCCCCTAGTGATGACTGGACAGGGCAGCGCCAGATGCACTCAGAGACAGGCACGGGGCTGGGAGAAGCAGGGGAGTGGGGAGCCATGAAAAGGGATGCGGGGTGAGATGCCCCCAGCTACTGATCAGTGCGCCATTCCCTGCTCCCAGAGTGACTGTGAGCAGGTCATTAACACCCTCTGAGCCTCAGTTTCTTCATCTGTATAATGGGGGAATGAGGAACTCAGAACCAGTGTATCCATCAACCTCTGGAGGGTTTCCCCAGAGACCTCAGACTACATTTTCCATGAGCCACTGACCAGCTCCCGCCTGGAGGAGAACCACCCATGAACCTCTGGGACCCAAGACAATCCTTCTAGAAGGCAGTTTCCCCCAGATGCTCCCCCAGGCCTCTCCCGTTCAACAAGACCCAGATAAGCTCAGGGTCTTCCTCAAACCCTCCCCTCTTCCTAGGTCCTCTGACAGCCTCACCATCCACCCGATCACCAGGCCAGACCCCTGGGTGCTGTCCTTACCTCTTCCGACCCCCTCCTGCCCACAGCCGTCAGGCCCCTGGTTCCATCCCCGACTCGCTGCCCCCTGACTCTCTGCCTCATCTCCTCCTCCACCACCCCTGTGATCTCAGCTCAGCCTTGTCCTCCCCCTGCCTGGACTCTTGGCCTCCAGTCTGTCCCCTGTGTGGCCCCAGAAAGGTCTTTCTATACCCAGAGCTGACCTCCTCTGCTCAAGCCCTCTGTGGCTCCCCAGCACCCCAGGACAAGGTCCCAGACCCTCAATCTGGCATCCAAGACCCAGTGTCATCTGGTCCCACCCGTGTCCCTTAGGTTGTATTTCTGCAGACCTGGCCTCCTGGCTTGGGACAGGCTGATCTGGGGACCCACTTCCCCTGGACTGGGAGTGACATGAGAGTCTGTCTGCAATGCTCACCTCTACTTTTTCCCAACACCCAGCTCAGGTCTAGGTCATATTAGGTGCTCAATATGCATGCATAGAATCAGGATCAATGGATCAATGAACTGCAGGTCCCAACAATGATGAATCGCTTTGTGCCTCAGGGACTCGGGGGTCTAATCTCCATTCTCTCCCACCTTCCTGATCTCAGAGTCCTGTCCCTATCTTCTTCCTTCCACTGGTTTTAAGAGCTCAGACCTCTAGCTACCTCCTCCCTGAAACTCAGGAGTCTGGGTCCCCAGCCTCATCTTTCTCCAGGATCCAGGACTCCACACCCCAAGCTCCCACCTTTCCCAGGACTCAGGAGTGCCGCAGATGGGAAGGTGACATGGAAGAGGAAAGGAAGTTTAGAGTGGACCCCCAGCCCGGTGGCCTGTCTCACCTGGTGGTGGGTGCCAGGCTTGTGACCTGCTGATGCGACTGGGCACTGGGCAGGCCCCCACCACTGGGGGGCAGCAGGAGCAGCCCTGAGCCTGCCCCGGCCTCCGAGGGCAGCTCGGGAGATGTCTGGCTCGGTTTGACCCCCGCGGCTACTGCGGCAGCTGCGGCCTCTGGGTAGGAGTCCATGTCCAAGTAAGAGGGCTCAGGGGGGTCAGACCCCCCTAGGCTGCCTGGCTCCAGCAGCTCGGCGAAGGGCGGATGGTGGGCCGTGTGGGCATGGTGATGCGGGCCCCCCAGCAGAGGATGGCCACCCAAGCCGGCCCCCAGGTGGTGCCCACCACTGCCTACCAGGCCTGCCAGCCCGACCCCGGGGCCTAGGTCTTTGCGCAAGGGACCACCGCCCACGGTTGAGCCTCCCTTGTCCCGCCAGGGCACCCAGCACAGCTTCCACGACACGAAGAGGGAGACACCCAGAAGGACAATGCCACAGAACGTCACGATGACCGACAGCAGGCTCACGGAGATGTCTGGAGAGAGTGAGGACAAAGGTCAGGGGTCAGGGTGGGGTCAGAACTTAGCCTCCCGCTGCTCTCCCCAAAAAAGCTAAGCTTTAGTGTTGGCCTCTCACCGTCCTAAACACGTTACACGTACTACTCAGTATAGACTCCACGGCTACGCAACGTCGGTGTTTCCGTCTAACCACTTTAAAGATGAGGAAGCTGAGAGGTTGGGTGACTCGTCTAAGGCTACACAGCTAGTCCATGACAGATCTGGGATTTGAACCAGCAGTCTGTCTTCAGATTTCGTCCTTTTTATTCTCTTGATCACACTGCCTCTCCTATAAGTGGATACATCCTCCAATTTAGAACCAAGCTTCCCCCAAATGCTCAGAGGTGATCAAAGAGAGGGGAGATCACATGGCCCAGTTAGGTAGGTCAGGGTTCAAATTCCAGCTCGCTGTGTGGCTTTGGGAACATATCTTCACCTCTCTCAGCTTGACCCACCCCATTTGTCAACTGGGGAAAACTCAGTTCTGCCTGTCATAATGGTTTTGAAGAATGGAGGGAGTAAATGGCTTGCAGAGGAAGCTGGGGAAGATAATAGCAAACATTTCTTGAGAGGTTACTGTGCTTTATAGACATTAGCTTCCTTATGCCTCATGGGCACCCTAGGAGCTTGGCAATATGATTATGCCCATTAGTACTTTTCACAAAAGGAAACTGAGACCAAGAGACATGAAGTTACCACAGACACGAAGTCCTGTAGCTGGAGTGGAGGAGGCAGAATTTGAGTCCGGGGCGCCTGGCTCCGGAGCCCACCATCTTCACCACTGGGCTACCACATTCAGCGTTTCCCAGTGAATGGCGGTTCAAGCAGGACTTTTTGTTAGGATGATAAATCCCAGTGCTGCCACCTGCATCCAACACCATGACCACCACCACTAACACATTCTGAATGCTTGCTGTGTGCTGATATGCCTTTCAGCGAAACCCAGGACAGCCCAGATCTTGAACCGAAGGTTCGTTCAGTAATTGGTGCCAAGAGTGGGGTTTTTCAAGGAAATGTGAATTTGCTTGGGGGTTGACTCTTGGGCCTCCATGAAGTGGATCACAGAGGGAAATTCCTGCTGTGTCCAGACGGCGGGTTATGGGGTGCACGGGGAGGAGCAGGTCACCGAAGCATTGGCGGCAAGGACAGCAGGGTGGAAGCGCTGTGTGCTGTCCCTTCCGGGAGCGCTTGGTGACAAGGGGATGTGCTTCAATCCTGAACCACCCGGTGAATCTAAGTCAGTGGTCCCTGATGTTCATCCTCATGACACTACACCACCTGAGGGTGATTGATCCCATTTTACAGACAAGGCAACTGAGGCTCAGAGAGACAGGAAGTGACCCTGCAGGGCCACAGGGCAGGCAGTGGCAGGACTCCGAGTTTCCCACCGGACCCCAATCCCTTGGGGAGTCCGTTTTGAAATGACCAGCACCTACTTAGAGTTCTGGGGGCCTGTTAAAAACCAGAGCAAGGGCCCCCCAGCCTTCTGAACACAGGGAGAACTGAGCAAAAGGGGTCGTTTTGGAAGAGAACGGGGAGAGAAGTTGGACAGATACCGTTCCTCACTGTTAGCCTGACCAAGACTCTCTCCAAGTCAAAGTCCTAGGAATTACTGAATTTGGGGGTGGTCCTGAGACACCCCACCCCCAGCTCGCCAAATCACCATAGTGTGCTAGACTTCCTGGGGTCACAGTCGGGCTCTTCTGCATATAGACCATGAGACTCCGAGCGAGCTGCTGCAGCTCTCTGGGCCTCATCCCTTATCACCAACCTCTGGACACCCTGCACTTGAGATGCTGAGCCCCGCCCTGGCGCTCAGTGAGTGTGGCCGTCATCCTAATGTCCCAGCTCCTGCTTCATGAAGGTTTCTTGTCTGGACGAAGGCGCTCATGATAGTCCCTAGCTCTCAGAACCCTACTTCTTTCTAGCTGGGGGACCAACCACTCCATCTGAACCTCAGTTTCCCCCATTGAAAATAAGGATTATAACTATATTCAGTGTCTTATAACAACATATAATGGAAAGGAATCTGAAAAAGAATATATACATCAATATCTATATCTGAATCACTTTGCCATACACATGAATCATTGTAAATCAACTGTACTTCAATTAAAAATTTTTTAAATAAAAAAAGAGAAGATAGGGATTATATGTACCACCAAGGGTCATCATGAGTAGTTGATGAGATATATGAAGGACCTTGCATACTGCCTGGCGCGCAATCAGTGCTCAGTAAGTATATTCCAACATTTATCGAATGCCCACTGTGTGCCCAGCTGCTTGTTAGCAAGTCACATGTGTTATATCATTTGAGTCTCTCAGCTGCTCCATAGAGTAGTCACTTTTATTATTCCCATTTTCCAGATGAGGAAACTGAGGTACAGAAGAACCCATGCATTTACTAAGTGGGGGAGGTGGGATTTGAACCCAGACAAGTCAGACAGACTGATTTAGAGCCTGAGCTTCTAAGCATTTGTGAGATGCACAAAGACACTTGAAGGGGGTGTGTGCAGCAGGGGAGTGGGGGTGGGGAGGGTGGATAGGAGGCCCACAGGGCAAAACTCCAAAGGTCATGGGTCAAATGGACCACATAGCTCCTTCTCCTTAGACTAGAGGTTAGGGGGACCAGCAACAGGCAGGATGGAGGCAAGACTCTAAGAGGGACTGGCTCCATAAGGCACAGGAAGCTGAGCAAGGCTGCTCTAAATCTCTAAAAATTCTGCCTATGCTGGAAGCAGGGGGCTGACCAACATGGCTGGGGGTGCTGACCTGCATCTGGCCCCCGGGGATAGCCTCTGATTCGCAGGTCGTTGAACTCTTGGCACCTGTCACTGGTGTCGGCATCTCGGACCCGCGCACAGAGGTCCGAGACCAGGATGAGCGCCCGACGGCAGAGGTCATCCTCGTAGTCTCCTGACATGGTGGCCAGCGAGTCCTGTGCTTGGGAGGGGCCGGGCAAGGGTACAGATGGGGAATGGGATCGGGGAGAGAGAGGGGATGGATAAGGGGTGGAAAGAGAATGAAAGAGGATAGGCAAGGGGCAGTGACTGGGAGTGGAATGACAAAGGGACAGAGATTGGGAGGTGGAAGGACACGGGGATGGAGATTGGGAGGGGCAATGAACAAGGGAGAAGAAACTGGGAGGAAATGGACAAGGAGGAAGAGACTGGGAAGGCCAGGCAAGGGGCAGAGATTCAGGATGTACAAATAAAGGGTTGGACAGACAAGGAGACAAAGATTAGGGTTGCACAGATGCAGGGACAGAATTTAGGGATGGAGAGACAATGGAACCGCCATTTCTCCTTCGTGCATTCAACAGATATTCACTGAGCACCAACTACACGCGAGGCACTGTGTGGGCTGCTGCAGATCCAACAGGGAACAAGCCCCGCTCGGTCCCCGGCCTCCTGGTGTCACAGTCCAATGAGAGGACATAAGGAGCATCAAATCAACAAACACACTCACATGGACACACAGCCCTCAGACTGTGAGAACTGCACTAAAAGAAGGATGTGTCACAAAGGGACCCGGAGGTGGGTCATCAGGGGAGTTCTCTGAAACCTGAAAGACGAGACGGAGTCAGCCATGGGCAGTGGGCAGTGGGGCTGGAGTGCGGAAAACCATTCAAAACAGCGGGAAGAACATGAGCAATGGCCCAGGGTGGGAAAGGGCTTGGGAGGTCCAGGGAACAGGAAGGTGTAGAGAGGAGAGGAGAGGAGAGGGAGAGAGAAGGAGATGGATGGGGGCAGAGAGATAGGAGATGGTTGTTTGATGCTGGCGTGGAGAGATGAAGGTGAAGGATGCAGAGATAAGGACCAAGTTGAGAGAGGGAGAGATAAGGGGAAGGGAGACAGAGATAATGGGAAGGGCAAACTGGGGCCTGGAAGAGAAGGACAGATGGACAGACAGACAGAGGGAAAGTCAAGGATTGAAACTTGGGATGGACAAGCCATAAAGAATAAGCTGGTGTGTAATTCACAGGAGTGTGAGAGATGGATGGACCGAGCGGGCAGTGGTAAGTGCCAGGCAAGAGAGTGGACCGAAATATCTTTGAGAGACAAATAGTGGACAGGAGAATGGATGGGGTGCAGAAATAAAGGACAGAAAAATAATGGCCAGAGATCACAGATGGACAAAAGGATACAGCGGATGGAGGACTGGGCAGACAGTCATGGGGGCAGAAGGAAGGTTGGCGGGGGGGACGTTCATAAAACACAGGGAGAAATAGGTGGCTGTGGGGAGAAGGGGAATTAGCGACACATAGTTTGGAGCTAGACATCATAGACAGACTGGAAGGAGGGTGCAGGGGAAATTAGGGATGGACAGATCAGGGCTCACAGATGGACAGGTGTCGTGGGGTGCTGCAGAAGGCCAGGACTCTGAGACGGGCATAGTCAGACTCACCTGCGCTTATCCCTGCCTTGTCCTGGATGGCAGCGGAGGCGGCGGCTGGCGGTAGCCCATGGGGGTTGTAGGGTGGATAAGGGGCTGCGGAACTGTCCCCAAGAACCAGGTGGTGGGAGGGGGGGCTGGATCTGGGGGCCGTGGCCGTGAGAAAAAGCTTAGCCCGAGCCTCACATCTTGTCCTACTCGGGCCAGCTGCTCGACCTCAGGCGACCCCCGGGAGGTCCGGCCACCCCCTTCCCACCTTCGGGCCCCCAGCTCCTGTTAAGCTTAAAGACTACAATTCCCGGCAGGCCTTGCGCTCGCGTTGCTGCGGCTTCATAGACCAGGCACTGCAGGGACTGATGGGAGTTGGAGTCTTTAGTGCCTCTCCCGGCTGCAGATAGGATGGGAATTTTTTGTAGGTGGGGGGGGAGGTTATGAGATGCCGGGGTCCCAAGGCGCTGCAGGGGAGATGAATAATGTCTGGGACCTCGAGAAGCCACGGAGTCCTAAGTCCGGAGGGGCCATGGAGTGGGTAAACCATCCCCACGCCCGGGGGATCGGTGGGCGAGGTTGGGGTGCACCCAGGTGTTTCGGGACCCCCCCACATTCCGGGACCACGTGCCCCTCCCCCGGGGCAGCCAGGAGACGCTGCAGCACTCCCACTCCCGGGTCGGAGATCCGCGCACCTCTGCCCCTACCCCCGCCCCCACGCGCCCGGGCCGCCCCCCGGGATGGGGCTGGGGCGGGGGCTGTGGCAGGGGGAAGAGGAGGAGCGGACTCACCCGGAGCTGCCCCTGCCGCCGCCGCCGCAGCCCCGCGCGCCGGCCGCGGCGCCAGCTCGGCTCCTCCCCCCGCCCCTGTCGCAGGTCCCCGGCTCCTCCCCTCGCACCCCCTCCTTCTTCCCCTTCGAACCTGCGGCTTGAAAGCCGAAATCACGCGGCCGCAGAGAGGAAGGAGGGCGCTTTCCCCCGACCTAGGCTTCTGAGACGCAGCGCACTTCCACCGCCGAGGAGATAGAGATCGAAGATCAGGACCCTCTGTTCCCGCCCCCGCCCCCAGGATCCAAAGGCCCCGGCCCCCAGCCCCTCCTCTCCTAGACAGAGAAGTCAGGGACCCTGGTCATCGCTTCTCCAAGGACCCCGGGTACCGAGCTCCCAACCCCCTCCATTCTCAGATGCAGGAATCCACCTCTCCTGCTCCCTCCTCCCTCGGGGACGCAGGACCCAGGACTTCCCGTCCTCCCAGCCGAGGGGCTCTGGGGGCTGGTGCTGGGAAGGGAGGCAGAGCCTCTGAGCCCGGTGTGGAGGTGGAAGCAAGGACTTGGACTCAAATTCTTCCTGGGTCTGCTCCTACCTTTGTGACCGTGCCTTATTTGCTATGAGTTCCAGTTTCCTCATCACCAAAATACAGACAAAAGACTCGTTTCCTAAGGGGCCCAGAGATTTGAAAAACCAGTCAGTATATAGAGAGAATAGGCACCAATGAGGTGCTTAGTGAATATTTTTTCAACGCCTCAATTAATGACAATTGCACCGGGGTTAAATGCTTTGAAATCATTCTCTGAGTTAATCTTCACTTTGGCCCTATCAGGTGGGGAGCAATTATGTTATTCCCATTTCACAGAGGAGACAAGTGAGGCCCACAGAGGTGAAATCCCTTGAGGAAGTCCAGAACTACCTAGAGTCTGGGTGCAGCCCACAGGGGTGACTTGGAGGGCCCGTCCCAGTCTTTCTCAGTGCTGCCCCCTGCCTCCCAGTGACACCCATATAAATATAATCTAAGTGAAAAATTGCAAATACTGTAAGACGTGTCTCCGAGGCACATCTCCCTTTAATTAGACGACTCCCTCCCCCAATTGCTGCTTATGTATACATTTTGCAGCCACCATCATACTGCTGATTAAAAGATGCTTGCTCCTTGGAAGAAAATCTATGACAAACCTAGACAGTGTATTAAAAAGCAGAGACATCACTTTGCCAACAAAGGTCCGTCTAGCCAAAGTTTTTCCAGTAGTCATGTACGGATGTGAGAGCTGGACCATAACGAACGTTGAGAGCCCAAGAATTGATGCTTTCGAACTGTGGTGCTGGAGAAGCCTCTTGAGAGTCCCTCGGACAGCAAGGAGAGCCAATCAGTCAATCCTAAAAGAAATCAACCCTGAATATTCATTGGAAGGACTAACGCTGAAGCTGCAATACTCTGGCCACCTGATGTGAAGAGCCGACTCATTGGAAAAGACCCTGATGCTGGGAAAGATTGAGGGCAGGAGGAGAAGGGGGCAACAGAGGATGAGATGGTTGGATGGCATCATTGACTCGATGGACATGAGTTTGAGCAAACTTTGGGACATAGTGAAGGACAGGGAACCCTGGCGTGCTGCAGCTCATGGGGTTGCAAAGAGTCAGACATGATTGAGCTACTGAACAACAACAAATCATACTGCAGGATCCCCCAGAATTGCCTTTTGAGTTCACTCCAAATCCGATCCTCAGTGCTTCTTGCTTTCTCCCAGATGGACCTACATTTGCACCCAAGAAATACTGCATGGGAGGAGGTGCACCCGCAGACATGTGCATGGAGGTACAAGCACCCCAAATAGCACTCTCACAGCCAGACCTCCACCCAGGGTCCACAAGCAGGGAGAGACGCGCAGCAGCATGCAGCAACGCACACAGAGTTGTGTACGCAGGTGGGCTTGCCAGACCCCCATGACGTGTTCCCCAAGAAGCCCTCAGGCATCAAGGAACAGCTGCAGTGCATCGACTGTGTGTGACTTTGGGAGTGGGGAGCGTGGGTTCAAATCCCACCTCTGCTCTCCTATCATTTGTGGCCTTGGGTGAATGACTTACATTCCTGGTGCCTCCATTTCCCCATCTATAAGTGAGGGTAATCTTTTTTTCCCCAATTTTTTTTTATTGGGAGGGTGATCAATTTTTAAACCCAGATTCCACCTCATTAGGTTATTCACCAGGATTAAATTCACCAGCGATTCAGAGAAAATGGTTAATGTTTACTGTTGTCGTAATTAGTAATTACATGCATTGGCTCATGGAGTCTTTTTTTTCCCTTGGCTTGTTTTATTTATCTATTTTGGCATGTGGGATCTTTCAGTGCGGTGCATGGACTCTCTAGCTGTGATATATGGGCACCGTAGCTCTGCACCATGTGGGATCCTCGTCCTCGGACCAGGGATCCAACCCACATCGCATTCTTTACCCCTGGATGACCAGGAGGAAGTCCCTGCTCACGGACTGTTTAATGTCATTTTACAAGTGAGGAAATTGAGGATCAGAGAGGGAAAGTGCCCTGCCCAAGGTCACACAGCTGGGAGGTGTCAAGAGTTGATTCAAAGCCACGTGGTCTGACTCTAGACTCCCAGCTTTCAGCCACTACATTGTTTGCATCTAGGAAGTTTGAGGACCTTGCCTGTTATCACCACTGGGGGTGTAGCCGAGTGCAGAGCACTGGACAGGGAAGCAGGAGACAGAGAGAGACATCCATTCAATTCAATCCACGCAGCTATTGGGCAGA